TGGAGCTGGAGAAGCTTTAAGGTCCCTTTCAACACAAACCAGTCTGGGATGATTCTCTATACAGGTGTCTAAATGTATTCATTTGGTGTTATTCTAGAAGCCTGAGGGTGTCTAAGGCGTCTGCCTGCAGCCGGACAGAGAACATGACCAATGGGGGAACTATATCCCCAGTAAAGGCAGCTGAAGGCTGGGCAGGATGCCTCTGACTTCCCGACAGGTACTAGACTAAACTGGTACCTGCCTGCAAGTACCTGAATCCACCCCTGGGACAGACAGTCAATAGAAACAGTGTCTGAAAGAAAAAAAGCTGCTGTTATTGCAGGTGATCACATTCCTCAGGGGTGTGACGGCCCCGCACAGCCACAGCTCCAGCCAGGCCTCCTGCTTTCTCCAAGGGTAGCTTCCTTCCATGGGAATAAAATGAAGCATTTTTCAGCTACCTACATAAACACATACACGAAAAAGCTACGACCAAAACTAGAGCAGGTCCGAGAGGATAACAAAGTATCAGATTTCTTCTCTTGAATAAGAGCCAAGCCAAGCCCAGTTTCCCTCGCAGCCTCCCCACTACCAGCTTGCACCAACAGAGGAGGATCCTGCACCAGGGTCTGCAGCACTGTCTGCAACATCTGACTGCTTGAAACACGGCTGTGAACACAGGTCTCTGCTCCGTGCTCCTCCCTGCTTCTGGAAACCCAGTTTCTCTCTAAAACTGGCAATAAATGCACTATTATCTAGTGAAGCACACAACTGCACCTGCCACGGGAAGAAAGCTCTAAAGCAGAGTGATGAACATCTGTTCAGGGTTTCTACCGTCAAGTTACAGGAAGACAGGAGTCCACAGCATGAGAGGAAAACCCTCAAGAACTGTTATTAGTAAGTTAAGAGCTCACTTGTGATTAGATGGTGTACTCAAAATCTCGCTGTTTGCTGAGCACAGGCAGCCTCTGGTCGGAGCTGTCATCTCCTGTGGGAGCACCACGTCCGAGGGGAAGCTTCTCTGCACGGTGCCCAGTGACAACAGCCTGGACGTCCTCCTGCCCTGTGCTGCAGCAGACAGGAGCCCTCTCAGGGCTTCATGTTGACACCACTGCTCTTCCCAGCCAGGCACATACAGCAGTGAGCTGGGAAACCTGCCCCTCCTGAGGCTTTTCCTGGGGGTTGTATCCCTCCCGGTAGCAAGCAACACCTAACCTGGCTGTTAACAATTCCCCTTTCCCACCCCAAGCCCCCCAAAACTCTGGTTTAAGAAGGTTAAACTGGAACCTCTGGTCTTTGATCTCTTGGCATCCAGAGCCTTCAAAACTGCTTTGCACTTTAGCAGGGGAAAATCACGTGAAGGGACTGCCTTGCACACTGACCCGCTTTCATTAATCAGCTCACCTCAAGCAACAGGACAGCAAGTTCAGGTGATCTTAACTGCCCTCCACCATGAGCTTAGCTGGTGCTAAAAGCAGTGCTGCACATGACATCCTCTCTAAAGGCACTCTTAGAAAGGGAAATCCCCAGCAATCAATAAAAGGAAAGAGAAGGCAATCAGATATATACAGCATGTGCCCCGCTTATTGAGCAGCGAGATATACAGCATGTGCTGTCCCTTCCCTGCTGGCAGCTTCCACCAGGACAGGATATGAAGACAGGCACGTGACTAAAAGGAGCCTGAAGATTTATACTCATCTGCTGCCATTCACAGGAACTTGTTCAGTGCCAGGAGCACAGCCTGGGACTTCTTACCTCTAATGACTGTATTAAAACTCATTAAGGATCAAATCCCTGCCTCTGAAATATTTAGGAAAAACTGAAATGCATCTGACGTACTGTATCTAAACCCAAGGACAAATCTCAGGGAGCAAGGTGCTTCTACTCGAGGAATTTCCAGAAGAAGGGCAGATGCAATAGAGGCGGGGGAGGGGGGGGATAAGAATGGTGGGACAGTGGGAAGAAGGGGGTTTCACTTCTCATCAAGCCTGTGTTTTATTATAAACCAAAACTGCTAGCCCACTTCACAGGATGAAAACTCTTTTGCTTCCTCTTTTGCCCCATTTAGCAATGGCAGTGGAAGCTCTGCACACTGTTTCCTAATGAGGCAGTTAGATCTGCACAGAACGCCCGCATTCATTTATATTATATATATATATATATATTTTATATTAAACTAAAATCTCACTCTCCTTGCTGAACAAACAGGCTCTGTCTAAGATCATCTTATCCAGCATCCAGAAGTGCTTGGCTGCCCTCTTCCCGCTCAAGTGCAGGGCAGGCAGCAGGAAGGTATCCGTCTGTTGGCTGCCACGGTCAGGGGTGGCTTTCCCTAGGCAGGGGTATGAGCAAAATTAATACATTCACTTTTAAAGTTCCAGAAAGGGGAAAGAGCAAAGAACAGAGGAGGCACGAAGCAATTTTATGCCAGTCCAAGAAGCACAAAGGACAGGAGCGAAGGCTATGACTCACTTGCTGGTACGTCCCAGCCCTGGCATCCACTCCCCCTGTGGGTCTGCATCAGCCCATGCTGGCTGCCTGCCGGTAACACAACATTCCCCCTGTAGCTGCCCACAGTATGTCTCCAGGCCGCCCTAGATGCAGCACAGCGTCTTGGATGCTAGAGGCTACCAGCTCTTCTAATGGGAACAGCCAATGGAGCGAGTCAGCCACAGGCACAAGAAAGGACATGACCAATTCTTCAGACAAAACCATGCTAGTCCATTAATTTCTTCTGATCATTTACTCATCTTTTAAGATAAGGGGCTTCCCTGCTGGCCCTGCTCCTCTTTAAGTCCATCAGATCTAAGCCTGAAGCAACTCCATTAATCATCACTTCTTCCCCCAAGTCTCATCCCTCACCTTCAGCCAGCAGAAAAGCTCCAACATGGCTCTTCATGCTACCAACCAGCTGTGCTGCAAAAAGAAAGCGTCTGCTCTTCTAGGGTTGGCACCCTGGTAATACCTGGTATCACACTATTCAGGAACAGAGCCAACAGCATCACTTAACGTTTAAGGTGAAAATTACTTTTGCACAGGTCACCTCTCTACGGGATGCTGCCCCCCAGCTCCCACCAGTGTTCTCTCCATGCACTGCAGATGCCCACTTGAAGGATCACAACTGCTCGGCTGGGGAACAGGAACAAAGCTATCACAGCCACCAGAAGGATCAGAGCAAAGCTGCTGCAGTAGCTTTTCTGAAGGTCCCGTGTCCACTCCAGACAGAGGAGCACTTAACACTGCCCCGTAAGATGGTGCAATCTGGCAAAGCTACAGGGAAAGTCTGGGACTTGCTCCTGGGTCCCCTCGGGGTTTCCTGCACAAACCTCCAATACCTGGGAGCCTCCCACACGGCCTCTGCCCTCACCACAGGACTTCTAACAAAAAGATTGTGTAGTCTTGTTATCATGTGCCCTTTAGTAACAACTGCCACTGTAACAATGCACTATGGGCTCAAAATCCCCTGGAAAATAGGGACTTCACAACTTGAACAAGCACTTCTCTATTGAAATCAAGGAAATTTCTCTTCCCACAGGCAATTAAATCCAAACATGAAAGCCCAGCGTACAATAACAGACATTCAGAGCCCAATACGCATTTCACCTGCCTAAGAGATAACAAGGCCCTGGGCAAGGCATCAGTGCGGGTGCCAGAGCAGGAACAGGATGGACATACAGCAGTGGTTTATCCTGGCAGAACTCCCTAAATCTGGTAATAGAACTACTTTATAAAGGCACTGTACTGCACGAGCTCTAGTACCAACCTGAGCCTAGGAGTGCCAGAGCGGGCAGCAGTACCAAAATTCAGTCACTTGGTTAACAATCCATCAGTTCAGTGAGGCTACCACTTCCCTGCAAAGAGCCACTGCTGACCTCAGCTCTGTCCCCTTCCCTGGACACAGTGTTATTCCCGCTTCCTGCAAAACGGGAAGAGGCAGCACACACAGCTCCTTTTGGAAACCAGGTCCAGACAGAGAGGTTTCCCTGCTGCAATAAAGATGTGATTTCCCTTTGCTCAGGCTCCCTCAGTATCCACAGCTGCCTGCTGGGTTTGCACACACATCCACAGGCAGGGTTACCTCTGGGTAACACCAGGTCGCCAAGTGTGCAGAAACTGGGGGCACTGGGAGCTTTCCTTTCCTAGAGCAGTTGCTTCTTGTCAGCTGCTTGGGAAGGATGTGGCTATGAAAAACACAAGCCAGTAGCTCCACTGACTGTTAGGCACTGGCACTTTCCAGAAGCAGATTTCTCCCCCATACCGGGCAGGTGGTGAACAGCCTCAGGCAGGTGAGAGATCTGTTTGCAGAGGACTGAGAAGAACCAAGCACACTGTGTAGAGGCACAGAGGATCTGAATACACAGAAAGTAAAGCTGATACCCCAGGAAGAGAAGGCAGAGTTAATCCCCCTGCAGGGATTCCAGCCATTTGCTGTCTAACCCATTGGGACTGCAGGGAAATGGCTGCCCAGGAGCACAGCAGATAGAGGCAGGCAGATCCTCCCCACACCAGACCTCAGCTGCAGCTCCCCAAGTCACGAGGGCCTCAGCTTTAAAAATAATAGTAAAAGCATCAAAGGAAATAGCTCCCACATACAGATGTTAAAGTATCAGGCCGTGATAAACCCTGGAGTCTCACCACTTGTCACACTGGAGGAGCACTGCAGAGGGAATGAGGAGCTGACAAGGGCCCAGACCTCCCCAGGGGTGCAGGAGAGTTGACAACAGGACTCCGAAGCATGAGATGTACTTCAGCACAGCCAGAGGGAAAATTTAACACCGCACATCACCGGCAACACACAGCAGACACAGCATCATCGGTGGTATGTAAAGCGATTTAAAAGCACCTCTGATGCTTCCAGAGGAGCTCACCAAATCCCACTTCACTGTGCATCTTCCCACCCCCCCGCCAATACGTTACAGCTGTATTTCGCCCATCTGATTTCTGCCCCACCACACACTGGCTGCTCCACTTCACATCAGCCTCCCCAAGCCTTGGGGCTGAAGAGACTCCCTTCCACTCACCCAGGTCTGACCTTCAGGGCAGCACAGGTTTCTTGGTTTGCAGCCAGATGCCACGGGCTTGCTCCAGTTTTCAGTAAGAACAAAGCACTTCAGCCATTGGGAAATCCAGTCTATCATTAGGGAAGAAACGCAGAAGTGCCTCTGGCACTGGGGCAGCTGCAGCCCTGACCTGGATGGAGGCAGGAGGGGGCTCTGCAGCCTGGCCAGAAAGCATAAGTACAAGGCCAAATGATGCTGACTGGGGTGAGAAGCAATGGCTCCAGGGCTCCTCACATTCTCCCAACCCTGCACATGAACAGCCCAGGTCACCAGGAGCCCATCAGGTGACGAAGTGCAGACACTGACCCAAGCTCGGAGCTGGCAGCCAAGTACCCTCATGCAATGTTCTCAACCCGGGTATAGGGGCCTCCATCCACGAAACCCTGAAAGAACAGCTTCCCAGGCTCATTTTAAAACAGCAAGACAGAGTTCCACCTGGCTCTGCCCCACTGTGTGCTGTGGCACCGAGAGCTATGTGCCAGCCATGCTCCAGCCACAGAGTGCACTTCCACAAGAGACTTTAAAAGGTTTAAAGAGAAATTTATTGTGAATCCAGGCAGCACAATTGAAATAACAGAGGCGACTGAACAGATTTATGTTGGATCGCCACAAGGCACTCATCCACTTGGGGAAAGCTGGCTACTTCAACAAGTTTCTAGAACAAAACAAAACCCCTTCTGAAGCTTCCAGAAAGAACAATGCAAACTGCACCCCCTGCTCTGAGCAGTGCTCACTTGCAACAGAGATGTTCAGAGAAAGACTGGCAGGCTAAGCAGTTGAACTGACTGTGAAGTAGAAATGCTTTGAGGGTCCTTACCATAAAGCTGTCACTCACAAACAGTACCATGTCCAAGCACGTTCTGCCAGAGAGAACAATCCCACAGTCTCATTTTGCAACGAAGAACTGGTCAGGTTGCAAAACGAACAATGACTCCGTTTTCCAGTCAGTGCTGTCTGAGCCATGAAATGGAAGAACGCTGAGCTCTAGAGAGTACCCTGCCATGAATGTGGGCTTAAGTTCAGATAGAAGACTTTGCCCCTGAGCAGATAACTTGTGATCTGTGGCTACCTCTGCCTCTGCTGCCAGGATGGACTCCTCCAGAGGGGTGGAGCTGATGCAGAAGTAGCCCCTGCAAAAGTCAGCAGGCTCAGCTTCTTGCTAGGTCTCAGCCAGAGGTCCCCAATATACAGCCTGTACTTTGCTATCCAAACAGTCCCATGTGCCTCATCTCTCTCTAACTCCCTTCCCAAGGCTCAGGTAAACCACATCCCTCCTGTGAATGCTGTGCCTCTCCTCCCCAGTGTGATGAGACCTACATCCTTGCAGGAGGCAGCATGGTATCTCCACCCCCACGAAAACACTTGTTGGGAAAAGCAACACTCTGTCATGCACGCCCCGGAGAGCCGACCTCAATGGGTCTGTAGCGCCTGAGATCAGCTGTATCCAACACACTGTTGAGCAAACACTCCACCTAGAAGATAAGCAATACGATGCACGAGGGAAGGAAGGTTGGTATTGCTCTGTATCAGACACTAAAAGGAACAGGCACTACAAAAGCACACAATGTAAAAGGAAGCCTCTGCAGTCAGAAGCTTGATATGTGCTTAAACAGAATATAGAGACATGTAATGCTCCTCCCCTGGGACAGATGCTGGGCAGGCTGCTCCTGCTTGAAGAAGAAATTTGAGGGCATCTCTCAACTGAACAAGAGCAACAGAATCAAAACAAGTAACAACAAAGTCATTACCACTGCTAAGAGCAGGAACCATCTGTTTGGTTTGTTGCTGCTATGTCCCATTAATGTTATCTCCTCTAGGGAAGGCAAGACACTGCTTTAAACTCCACCATCTCAGGTCTCTGAAAGATGCTGCAAAACCAATCCTGTGCAGAACCATTCCCACAATTCAATCCCATCCCCAGCGAAGCACAGGGCCCTGGAGAAAGGGAAGAAGCAGCTCCAGCTCAGAGGCAAACCAAGAAATCTCAGAGTAAACGGAGGCACTGCATCAAAACCTCAGGGTGAGGGAGGCTGAGCACAAACACAGTGGGAGAACTGTCACAGAGCTGCATTGGAAGGAGACTGAACAGACCCTAAACATCCACAGGCATCAAAGCCTCTGAGCAGCCGTGAGACTGACCAACCCAGAGATAAGTGAAGCAGAGATGGAGGGAAATGAATGGAGGTAAGAGGGTGTGTGTGTGTGTGTGCACAGCCCAAAAATGGCTCCGAGAGTTCAGGCTTCAGGAGGAGGCTTCCTGTTACCAGTACATGCTCCCTGGCAGGAAAACTGCGTGCTGGGCTGCACCCCCAGAGCGTGAGCAGCAGGTCGAGGGCAGGGATCCTGCCCCTCTGCTGCCCCCTGGGGATACCCCCCTGCAGTCCTGATCCAGCCCTGGGGCAACACCACAAGAGGGATGTGGAGCTCTTGGAGTGAGTCCAGAGGAGACCATGGAGCTGCTGCAAGGGCTGGAGCAGCTCTGCTCTGGAGCCAGGCTGAGAGAGCTGGGCTGGTTCAGCCTGGACAAGAGAAGGCTCCTCAAGGGGAGACCTCAGAGCAGCTCCAGTGCCTGAAGGGGCTACAGGAAAGCTGGAAAGGGGCCTTGGACAAGGGCCTGTAGGGACAGGACAAGGGGAATGGCTTTAACCTGCCAGAGGGGAGACTGAGATGAGCTCTTAGGCAGAAGCTCTTCCCTGTGAGGGTGCTGAGGCACTGGCACAGGGTGCCCAGAGAAGCTGTGGCTGCCCCATCCCTGGCAGTGTTCAAGGCCAGGTTGGACACAGGGGCTTGAAGCAAGCTGCTCTAGTGGAAGGTGTCCCTGCCCGTGGCAGGGGTTGGAGCTGGATGATCTTTAAAAAGGTCCCTTCTAACCCAAACTATTCTATGATTCTACATAAACAGGCTTATTTCAAATGGGATTTAACCACTGAATGTGATTCAGTTTCATTTCTGCTCACATTCCCAGTTAAAAGATTTTCCTGCGCAGACAGAGAACCAGGCATGGCTCCAGCACACACAGCAGCACAGTGTGTTACAGCTGCTGGAGCTGTGCAAATCCATTGCAAGGTCTGAAGCTCTGGCTCCAAAGCTGCAGCACCTTGCACCAGGGCGCTTCCTTCCTCACAAAAATTCCCCCTCTCTGGTGGGAAACACACGATTTCCTTGGATTGGGTTCTGGGCTGCAAGGGGCAGGTGCAGTTGTACTTGTTGCAAATGCAGAGAGCAAGACGGCAACCAAGCAGAGCAACCAACCAACATGTACTCAGAAGTAGGCCTGAAGAAGCTTTTACTATTTATAAGCCAATCATCTGATCCCTCCCAAGGGAAATCCTATCCTTTTGTAACTGCAGTCTCTGCAGGACTGTGAGGGAGGAACAGAAGGGAAGCAATTACATCGACGAGGAGCTTACCCAAAGCACTGGGACAAAATTCCTCCCTGCTCTGTAGCAGTGCAGGCATCTTCCTGGAGAGCAAGCCAGGGATTATGAGCAGGGATTAATCTGTTATGGTAATTTGCCAAGAGCAAAGTAATTTTTTAAACAGCTCTCTTCTCCATTCATCGCTCTCTAAAAAGGGCTCCAGTCTACTTCTGCAAATGTTGGCATTCTCCTGCGAGCAGCAATAGGGAGTCTCACGATAAAGAGCTGGCATACAGATCCAGGAACACATCAACCAGCAGAGAACCACGGTTGGATGGAGCTGCCTTGGGGAGTGGGCAAGCAAGGATGGAAGAGAAATTGCTTCCATAATTGCTTGCTAGTTATTAATTCCTGAGGGAACATTCCTGTCCTGGGAAGCTGAGCATGACGTGCAGGTATGCATCACTGATTTTTTTTTTTTCCTCCTGTTCACATTTTGTCCTGATATAAATAATTGGGGTTAGATTATATAGCTTTATTTGCCTGTAAAACAAAGCTCAGTCCTTTCCAACGCAACCACACAATCCCCAAGAAACAATATCGTTTTCTCTCTAGCCTCCTGTGAAAAAACTCTCTCCTGCAGATGACAGTGGTCTCCAAAGCCAAGCTGAGGATACAGAGCAGGAGTAGCAATAGCTGTGTCCCCACCAGCACAGACTAAAGCGACATCTCGAGGAGGTGGCCCAGCTCCTGGCACAATCTTCACAAGCATGAGGGAGGCCTCGTGCTGCCTCCAGGTGAGCAAAGCTCAGCCAGCTGCAGGCCATGGGAGGGGGAACCAGTGCACCCACCACCTCTGGTCCCACCAGAGCCAGGACAAGGATGGCTCTGAAAAATCCACATGAACCAAAGCCAAAAGCAAGGCAGTACATCTCCTGGTAGATTCAGATAGAGCAACAGCTGCACAGCAGCATTCTCCAAAGCTGCTGTACCATGGTAAGATACAGCCCCAAAGCTTCCCTTGAGTCTGGATTTTTGCTTTGGCTTTTTTTCCTTTTAGCTTGCTCCAGACAGGTCCAAGTGACTCTGCTGGCCAGACACCCCAGTGAGGCCCAGAAGGGCACTGCCACAAAGCCAACAGCAATGATACCTCCGAGGCTCACTCAGCTATCTGTCACCGCCAGCATGAACAGCCTCCTGTGAATGCAGCGAAGGGAAGAGGGATCCGTGTGCTCCTAGAAATTAACAGCTATAAGTAAAACTTTAACATTTATTTCCTAGTCCCCATTTCCTGGCATATTCCTCTTCCATTGAGCATCCTGAAAGGCGCCATGGTACCCTACAAGCTCCCAAGCTGTTCCCACACAACTCCTCTAGCTGGCAGCCGAGCAGCAGCACTTGCCCTTGCTTTTACTGAAAAAAGAAAAGCATTGAGACTTCATGTTAAAGTTGGCAGCTAATGCAGAGTCAAGGGTGACTCGGGGAGGTTTGTTCTCATGCTTGAATCGTTATCACTCCAAATACAGGCTCTGGTTTTGAGGTGCACACTTGCACACCACCACCCACTGCATGAGTGCCCACAGTGCAGCCTCTGCCCTCCCCAAGTACATGCAGACTGACAAATCCCCTCTAGGCTTCCCGCGGGATGGAGTTCTCCTCACCACAAGGCGGCTTTTTGCACCTTTAATCCCACCCTCGTACAATGCCTCTGAACTCTGCCCAGATTTCCACCAACCTTCACATCACACAGAGGCACCAGCCCTGGGCACTGCTGCCTTTGCACCACTGTGGGAGCTGAGCTAACTGGTACCTCCTCCTCCTCAGGGAAGTACCAGAGACCACCTTCTCCTGCTTGCTTCCAGCCATGCTTCTTCTGTTCAACATATTCATGAAGCCAGGCAAAACCCACCTAGGAGAGACTTCACACCCTTCTTCCTTGTTTCTCTGTTCACATAACGGACTGCTCCTGAGCAGTTCACCTCCTCTGGTAGATGTGTGGCCTCACCAGAAGTACAAGGCCAAACTAACCAGACCACTGTATCGCAGCCTCATCTCCAGTGTTCTGCACAACACTCTGAGCTGCTTGTGCACTTCATCAACTTCTAGCTGCAAACTTTCTCTGGGTCATTGACAAGATCAGTGGTAAGATCTTTGTGAGACCATTAACATCATGTCCCCCACAATATCCTGGGAGCTACCAATATGACATGGGTTATCCTGAGCTCATCTCCCTTCACAACTCAGCAGGAAAAGCCAAAGGCATTGTAGCTGCTGCTTTAGGGAACCGGTGTGCACAGCACGTGGGTGCCAAAGCTTATTGTAAATAAACGTCAAAGCTGCAACACAGACTCCATACACCAACCCCAGACCCCCAGCCACCTGCAGTTTCTAGGTGCCGCAGGGATGACTCTGAGCCCCAGCGCAGGGGAGGCACCCTCCCCGGAGTCACCGGTGCCTGGCCTAGGGCGGGGGCACGGGCACAGGCGGAAGGCTCCGGCAGTACCCGGCGGGGTCTCCGCGGCACAGCCTAGGTGGCCCTTGGCAAAAGGGGCGTGCGCGCCGCCGCAGCTCCTCTCCCCCGGCCGAGAGAGGCGAACCGGGCCCGCAGCTCCGCGCCCGCGGCCGGGCGTCCCGCCGGCGGGCACGGTTTACCGGGCCCAGGGGACGCCCACTGCAGTTCCCGGTACAGCGGGGGAAGGCCCAGCGGACAGGCGGCCTCCGCTCCGGCCTGGCCGGCGGAAACTCCGAGGCCCGTTCCTTTTCTTTAACGCGATCCAGCCCGTACCCCTAGGAAACACCTCGGGGCCGCCCCCGGCCACCCCGCTCCGCAGCGGGCGGCAGCGCAGGCCGGCGCGGGCCCTGAGCCACCGCCCGCGCAACCGGGCCGAGGCTGCTAGCTACGGCCGCCGCCTGAGCGGTGCCGCCACCGGGCTGGCAGCCGCCCCACGCACACAGGCCCCGGGAGGCCCCGGGAGGCCCCGCTCACCGCGCGGCGACGGGAAGGAGCGGGGCCCAGCCCGGCCGGCTGGCGGGAGCAGCCTAAGGGGCGCAGGCAGGGTCGGGCAGGGGCAGAAGCGGCGCTCGGGGCCGGGGACCGGAAGGGCGGACCGGCGGGGGGGGGGCAGGGGGTGGGGCGGACGGGAGGGGGCACCGGCAGGGTCTCACCTGGCTCCGGCCGCGCCACTCCCGCCTCTGCCGCGTGCAGCTCCG